ACGTGCACACCACAGTCACTGCATTTGCTCAGATTTGTGAGAGGCCTAGTGGGTAGTGATTGGAGCCAAGGTACCTGAATTAGAATCCCAGCTCTGCTACCCACACTCACTCTTTGTGTGACCTTGGGAAAATTGCCTATAGCTCTCATCTATGGAGTCAGAATAATTAGAACAGAACCTCACTCACAAAATGCTGAGGCTGAAGTGAGTCTAAATGTGTAAAGTTTAGAATTGTGCCTGGCACATTATTAGCACTCAGTAAGTGTAAACCATATATATGAGCTGTGTTTACCAGAGCTGTGTGTTACTTGAGCTGTGTTTCCATGTTCTCACTAGGTGATGAGTTTCTTGAAATGAGGAACAGTACTTATAGATACTACCATATGCTAGGTGCCATGTTAAGTGCTTGTATTTCACTGAACCATCACTAATGAGGAAAGTGCTAACCTTTCTGCCCTCCCTCCCCATGTCTCTCACTTCCCTCTCCCCCTCATCTCTTCTCCCCTCTTCCCCTTTTCCTTCCTTCCACACATATTTCAGTGCCACGCCTGGGCTAGCATCCCTATTTTGCACATGAAGAGACTGAGGCACAGAAGAGATATGTAGTTTGTCCGTGTGCACAGAGCCAGTTCGATGGAGTCCCCAGTGCCTAACTCCGAACCTGATGCATGTCAGTAACACTGTACTATACCTTCTTTGTATTCATAGTATTTAGTGCTCACTAAGAGTTTGTGAAATGGATGAATGAAGGTGAGTAAATTAAGTTAAAATGAGGGAAAGAGAGACACATGGGTGGGTGTATGATGGTCTCAAGTTCGGATGTCGACATGATGTATTCTGAACATCCAGGTGAGCAGCTGACCAGGAGACATTTAGGAAGTGCAGGCTCCGTGTTAAGCCATGGCTGTACTGAGCAAACAGAAGGGAACTGTGAGGACATTTGCACCAGGTTCTTTGAAATCTGTCTTGCCTTTTGCTGAGAATTCACATTAAACTGAGCAATCTGGGCCAAAATCTTCATTTTCTTACCTTATGGTGAATGACCAGCACTTTTTTTTCTTTTGGTTCCCAACTTATCCTCCATAATCCCTCAAACATTACCCAATTTCCAGGATCATGTCCAAAAATTTCCTCATGATTTAAGTTCTTCTGAGCAGGAATTTCAAATAATTAGCTGCTAGGAGTTCTCTTATTACTTTTATAGTTGAATGTCTTCTTTACTACTTTCTCTGGGATTTTCCAGTTTTAAATTTATTCTCCTTCATGGTGGTGCCTGGAGAAATGCCAGGTTCTGCTTAGGTAGTGGGCAGAAGGCCAATTTACTTCATCAGGGAAGCTTTCCCATCCTATCTGGCTTAGTCCCCCTTCACTGCCATATTATCCTATGTTCGGCCTTAATAGCATTCACTGTCTTAGAAACTGTATTAAACCATAAAATAAATATTGTGTGTTCCCAATCCCTATCAGACTATAAGCTGGAGGAAGGCATAGCCTAGCATATCCCATTCACTACTGGGCTGTGTGTTGAGGTGGCCAATAAATACTTGTTGAATGGCTGAAATGGGGATGCAGGTGGCATGGAAAAACAAACCAAAACCAAAACAAACAAAAAAACAAGAGATAGAAAGGGTGGAAGCAGGCAAGAGCCTGGATGTGCTTTCAGCATGCCACACTTACTGCTACCAAAGCAGCTGTTGGTTTCCTACTTTAATAGAAAATAGAATACTTTCCTATTGTATTATTCCATTGTTTCCTATGCTATCCTGTTTCCACTGTTGGCGTGTGGGTTCTGAGAACGTGGTAATGCTCGCTAACTTTTGCACTCATTTTATGCATTCATTCATTCGGTCCCTGCATTCACTCATACGAGATCTACCAAGTGTGACTGTAGGGTAGGCAGTGTTCTGGGAGCTGGAGGTCCCTATTTGGTTGGTTGAAAAGAAGAAAGGCAAGATGCTTCAAAACTCTTGACTTCATAATTTTGCTTGTGGATAAACCTGCAGCACCAGGGAGGCTTTACTTAGAAAATAGGAGATCAATTTGCTTCCTGTCACCCAACCTCAGTTCCCAAGAAGACCTTAATCAGTCTGCTTATGGGTTGAGAGGATTCGTATTTTATCTATTTAATGCTTTAAAAATTGCATAAATTAGGCTGATCTTTTTAAAATTAAGCTAGTAGTTTATACTCCTTTACATTATAATAGAGTAGTTTATGTGCTCTAAACTTGAATATAGGTAACAGTTTAAATTCAATCATGACAACATACTTTCTATATTTTAGTTTGTTGGTAATAAATATTTAACTTAAACGTTATTTTTGTTTAAAATATTTTTATTTTAAAAGGACATATGGAGGAAAAATTTTACTTCTCCAAAGAGAGCAACTGTTAGTATAAAACAATACTCTCACCTATGAACAAGACTCAAAAATGTATCGGGGACTTACTTCAAAGGCAATATATACACCTAGTATTTAAAATTCTATGCCTAAAGTATCAAGATTATTACCAAGAATAATCATATAGCCCTGGCTGGGTGGCTCAGCTGGTTTTAGTATTGTCCCATGTACCAAAAGGTTGCAGGTTCGATCCTTGGTTGGTATGCGTATGGGAGACAACTGATTGATGTTTCTCACGTCAATGTTTCTCTCTCTCCCCCTTCCTCTCTCTCTAAAATCAATAATCATATCCTCAGGTAAGGATAAAATAATAATAATAATAATAATAATAAATAACAGATAATTTATGAGGTTCTTAAAAAAATTATCTTATATATCCACCATCTCCTCCATATGAATCTCCATGATACACACTTTCCCCATAGCCACCTCTTCCCTCATAATCCCTCCTTCTGCTATACCCCCCATCTTCCCACCCTTGGAAATCCGTTGTTTGCCATCATGCTCCTCCTCCTCTCCATAACTTCCAAGTCACTCTTCTTCTCCTTCCATCCACGCCTCCACCACCACAACCAAGCAACCCCACTATCCCCACCTTGTCTCCTGCCACTTGGGCATTTCCTCAGATGGTGCTTCAGTGTCACTCAGTCTTCCTCCCTGTCAGGCGTGCTTCCCACTTACTCTTGTTAACAGCGCATGAAATCTGGCTAGTGCCACTGCTTGTCCTAGTGCTCATCACAGGGGCACAGAGATAGGCCAGTGCAACAGTTGTTTCTGTTGGCAAAGCTTAGGCTGATAAATTCTCTCCATATCATTTGCCTTCACCTTTTCTCTAGTCCCGTGGTGGGCAAACCGCGGCTCACGAGCCACATGTGGCTCTTTGGCCCCTTCAGTGTGGCTCTTCCACAAAATACCACGTGCGGGCGTGCACGTACAGTGCGATTGAAACTTCGTGGCCCAAGCGCAGAAGTCGGTATTTTGTGGAAGAGCCAGTATTTTGTGGAAGAGCCACACTGAAGGGGCCAAAGAGCCGCATGTGACTCGCGAGCCACGGTTTGCCGAGCCGCAGTTTGCCGACCACTGCTCTAGTCCAAAGGACTCTGCTGTCAGATCTAATTGTTTCATTAATTAAAACTTTGGATTTAAACCTTTGCTATTGTTTTTCCAAATAGTATTCTTGGACTTTTGAGAGAGCACTGTTTTGGTACACTAAAGATATCAGAGATAGCTAGAATACTATGTTGCATTTCAATATTTTCATCAAATTGAGAATTTTTGCTTTTTATTTCATAACATTTATAAGGGTTAAAGCTTTGTTTTTAAAAACAGAAGTTTAAAACATTACTCTTTTATAAATAGTCTTTATTATTTTCTTATTTGACATCAGACTATGGACATCATGCCATTTCTAAGCCACTTAGCTCAAACTCAGAGCTTTCTGCATCACCTTCTCTGGGGGAAGCTATCCTCCCTTTTGCCTCACACAACAGCTTTACCTGACAGACTAACCAAATGTGCATTCACATTCAGGGGACAGTTCCCCTCCGCTGCTCTGGAAGGGCAGGCTCTTGACAGTGGCTTCTTGCACACTGGCACCTCTAGTGTGTCCAGCGACACCCATCCATCATGTGTTCAGCATCCGGCCCTGCCATCTTGCAGTCCTCCTTTGGATGGGACATTTTTTCATGAAAAAGGGCATTGTCTGGGTGGCTAAGGGAAGGGAGTTCTACGATCAAATAATGGTTTATTTGGACCATGACAAACATCCTCACATTCCTCCCCCAGTGTACACAGATGGAATTCAACTTGAATTGAGATTCCTGAACATCTTCCCTGAGCACTGCCCCACAGCAGGGGGAGGTACATTTATTCCAGTCCATCTAAGGCCCAAGTCAGTCAAAAGCTGGAAAATTTCTAAGAAAGAAACTGATGACTGTTAGATTTCCATAGTGAGGCTATACAAAGGACTTATCAAGTAATGCATATAAAGATCTCACAACGAAGGCCAGCGAACATGAAGTGACGAGCAAAAATTACTCAGGATGAAGATTTTCAACCAAGGGAATGAAATTTTAGTCTGGATATCTCAGAACCCATCCCTTCTTTTTTTATTGTTAATCCTTACCCATGGATCACTTTTCCATTGATTTTTAGAGTGGAAAGGAGTAAGGGAGGGGGGAAAGAGAAAGAGAGAGAAGAGGAGAGAGAGAGAGAGAGAGAGAGAGAGAGAGAGAGAGAGAGACATGGATGTAAGAAAGACACATTGATTGGTTGCCTCTCGCATATGCCCCTATCTGGTTGGGGATTGAACCTTCAACCCAGGTACATGCCATTGACTGGGAATCTAACATGCAACACTCTAACCTCTGAGAAATACTGGCCAGGGCAATCCCTTCTTAATGTTCAGGTCAATTTCTTTTTCAAAGATAGGGTCGATGCCATGACATCCCCAAGATATGATTTGATAGTCCCCACTATCACCATCCCCCACCCCCTAGCATCCTCTCTTCCCTGCCCAGGCTCCTGGATTAGGACCTTGCAAAGATCTTTAGTACAATAAAACCTCCTCCTGTTATTGCACTGACTAAAACCCTTTCCACAGTTCCGCATTGCCTACTGGATAAAGACCAAGCTCCTTTGCCCAACAGACCCCGCCTGTCAGCCACCATCTGTCCCGCTCACCTCTCTGACCCTGCGACACATTACATGACCTGGACCTCAACTTCTCCTGATGGGCCACACTGACTTCCTCGGCCTTTAGGAATGTCACTTTGTTTCCTCTCCCACTTCTACCTTATTCTTTCTTCACTATTCAACTTAGACATCTTTTCTTGATTTCCACTGCTGGGTTATGCACCTTCCCACTCCATCATAGCCTTTTACCACAGCAGCGTTATGTCTATCTTCTTGCTTGTCTACATCACAAACAAGGCTGCAAGTCCCATGGGGGCAAGGACTGTGTTTCAACTCATTATATCCCAGTGGATGGCACGAAAGTATTTGTTGAATGGATAAATGATAGATGTATAGAGGAGAGGTATTATGGGTTGAGGGTCTCTTGAGAGCAAAAAAGGAGGAGGCCATGAATAGCTGAGGCGATGGGACAAAGTGAGTATGAATTTGGTTGCTAAGAGTCACCATCCCAGTGTGGCAAATTGTAACACAACAAAAAAAATAAGACTCAGACTAGTCACCATGCTGGTATTAAAGAAAGACTTTGTGGGCTCGGCCCCTGTAGCTTAGTGGATTGAGCATTGTCCCATGCACCAAAAGGTCACTGGTTTGATTCCCTGTCAGGGCACATGCCAGGGCTGTGGGCTTGATCCCCAGTAGGGGGCATGAAAATCAATAAAAACATATTTTAAAAAAGAAACAACATAATTTAAAAATAGACAAAAGATTAAAAAAGAAAAGAAAGACTTGATAAACCACTGGGGTGTTACAGAAAGCCCAGGAGACACCTCAAGTACCATCAGGAAAGGTGATGATCAGGAAAGGCATGGAGCTGAGCTCGCAGCTGGGAGTCCTCAGTTCCCGCATCTGAGTGTGGCTGGAGGGGACCAGCTGGGAGACCTTTCCAAACGCATATCCTCTGAGGAGAATTGCAGGGTTTAATTAATCCATTTTGTTTTTTGTTTGTGACTGGAAAACAAAGTGATTGGGCATACTTTGTGTGGCCCATGCAGTGAGATAGAAAGAGGCCTGAGATTTATACAGGTCTAGAAACCAAAATAAGGTTTACACTGAGTGCTATCCAACTCCTAAGGAGAAATGGAAAATTTGAAAACAATTCAAAAGATGGACCCATCTTATTTGGGGGGCAATATTAGGAAAGGGCACTCTACAGCCCAGGTGTAATTCTCAGAGTTATTAGCGTTTCTATGGTGGCCATATTTTCTAACTTGTTTTAGAGACTTCTGGAGATTCCAGCATTGTAGTTCTAGGGAGGTGCTGAAAAGGCGAGAGTCTCACAGAAAAGGGGGTCCGGGATCTGGTGGATAGGCTGACATTGCCCCCACATAGTTCCTGCCGTTCTCCAGTCACGATGAGGCTAATTAACTTGCTCTTACTAAATGAGGAGAGCTGTGGGAGAAAAACAAAAACAATGCTCACCTTGGTTGGTGGTTCAGTCAGACAGTCTGTGGCAACCCGGAGCCCGCTACAGCCATGCAACCACAGGAGAAGAAATGAAGAAAAAGTATAACCCAGAGCCTTTCGCTCCAAAGTTCCAGCTCACCAGGCTCTCTGGGCAACTGACCAACAGCCCAATCCCTCCTGAAACCCTGTGTTCATGTCCCTGAACCCACTCTCTCTCAGTTCCCTACCCACCCCTCTGGCTGCTCCTCACCAGAGCCCATTATGGGCTCCTCTTCTCTTTCATGCTGGATATCCATCCTCCCTACATCTCTGCCTGGACAGGCCCCTCTCTTTTTACTCTATGCTTGGCCGGTGGGCTATCTCACACATTTAGTAAGAGCAAGTTAATTAGCCTCATAGTGACTGGAGAATGGCAAGAATTTTGTGGGGGCAATGTCAGCCTATCCACCAGATCCCAGACCCCCTTTTTCTTTCCAGATCTGTGTGCTGAATTTCTGACACCCTCAACCCCAGTCTTTCCTGGTAAAACTAGAAAATGACACTCCCATATGCTGAGCTGTCCAAAGAAGCCGGCCACTGGTTACTCTGAATCTTTATCCCTCCTATGCCCCTTCCTTTGTCAAGTATCAAACAGCAATTTCTATTGCTTTTACCTCCTAATTCTCTCTGAAATCTATCCCTTCTGTCTCAACCTTGCTACTCCTATTTTGGACAAGTAAAAGTCAGTGCCCTTTCTTGTTTTCAACCCCTAATATCACATCCTCTGCTGTGAAATTTAATGTCACAAGTGGCTTCCTAGCTAGTTTCACTGGAGGGTTTCCGGCTATAAACTCCCATGATGATAACACTCTGCTGCTTTTCCACCTTTCCTAGAACACTCCTACAATACTACTTTTCTTGTTTTTCCTTTGGCATGTATTGTAAGTCCATATAAGACCATCATAAATTTGAATGTGAGCAAACATGACATTATTTTTAAATTCTGAACTCAACTTCACTCTTGAGAACAGAGAACTCATCTTTCTATTTTGTCATAGTCAGTCTAATCCAGGGATTTTTTTCCAGCTATACTCAAATGTTATTTTCTCAACTAGAGGCACTGGTGCATGAAATTCATGCACTTAGGCAGGGGGTCTCTCAGCCCAGCCTGCACCTTCTTGCAGTCCAGGAGCCCTTGAGGGATGTCCACTGGGAGCAGGCCTAAGTCGGCAGTCAGACACCCTTAGTGCTGCCACAGAGACAGGAGAGGCTCCCGCCACTGCCCCTGCACTCGCCTACTGCGCTCACCAGCCGTGAGCCCGGCTTCTGGCTGAGCAGAACTCCCCCTGTGGGAGCACACAGATCACCAGGGGGCAGTTCCTGCGTTGAGCATCTGCCCCCTGGTGATCAGTGTGCATCATAGTGACCGGTCGTTCTGCCATCAGGCCGAAACTGGCTCTCTGACATCACCTGAGGGGTCCTGGATTGCTAGAGGGTGCAGGCCAGGCCGAGGGACCCCACTGGTGCACAATTGGGGCCAGGGAGGGACATGGGAGGACTCCAGGGCATGTCCGGCCCATCTTGCTCAGTTCAGATCAGCCAGACCCCAGCAGCAAGCTAACCCACTGGTTGGAGCATCTGCCCCCTGGTGGTTTGTGCACATCACAGTGAGCAGTTGAGCAACCTTAGCATATCATTAGCATATTACACTTTGATTGGTTGAATGGATGACCAGACGACTGGACACTTAGCATATTAGGCTTTTATTTTATAGGATCATTGTCAAGTTCATGATGGGGTGAATATTGTTTCCTGGGGTTTCTTTTTTCTCCACTTTAACGTGCCTTTCTTTTTAGAGGTGACATTAAGTGCCTGGGTGAAAGGGCCCAATGTGATTTCTGGCACTGGGAAAGTAGTGTCTTGTCACCCATGGGCATGGCTGTCTGTTGCTGCAGTATCTGCTGGGCATAACTTAGTGGCCTGGGCATCAGGTATCTGGTGCTGGGATCCCTCAAGTGATGGCTCCCCTGCCCCCTGAAGATGACCAAAGTTCTTATCATTGTCTTCTGTAACAGCCCCTTTTAGACCTCAGACCCCTTCTCAGTCACTTTACCTCCAGAGTTCCAAAGTCTCCCTTTTCCACACCTGAGGGAAGCAATGGGCCCTCTGAGCTTCCTCGGGCTGGCTGTGGCTGTAACGACCCCTCCTTCTCCTACTGCAGTATAGGCAGTGCCACAGCAAACATGGAGTAAGCCCTTAGAATAATCAACCCTCCACAAATTCTACTTATTTTCTATAGATTTATAATCTTTCATTTGAAGAGATATCTTCAGCAGTGATAACCCAAGCTCAATGCTTTACATACTGTTGTGTATACTTTCAGGATTTACGTGTATCTAAGTGGACACACATCTCAGAACGCTTGAATTTTATTTTTGAAGTTGTCAGTCTGACAGGGTTGGAGGGCCCACCAGTTCTCTCTGTCACTTGTCTGCACAGCGTCCAATGCAAAGTCTATTGATACACTGGGCCCACAGTTACTGAGAGCTTACTCTATGTTGGACACTTTCCAAGAGCATTATATCAATTAACCCATTTAACCTTCACAACCACTTTATGAGGTAGGCTGTTACTGTCATCTTTCTTTCCTCAGATGAGGATACTGAGGTGCCCAGGGGTACTTTTCCTGAGATGGTGCAGTAGGTGGCAGAGCTGGGACACAGACCCTAGCAGGAAGCCTGCAGTTTCTGGCCTGAACTCCATGGCAACTCCCTTGACGCCTTTCATCTGGGTACAGCACTGCAGTCTACAAAGAGCCGGCCCTGTCATTTGCTCCCATCTTGGGCTTGAGGAAGCTGCTCTCACAGCGTTTGTACTGAAATGTTCTTAAGGCCAGAGGACAATGAATTTACATCATTCCCTCATCACAGGGCACCAACCACACTCTTCCAAATCTCACTTTAGACCAACCCAAAGCCACACCAAAACATTGACTTCATTCTTGAAATCTCATGTTTTATTTTAAAATTCAGACTCATAAAATACTAAATAGAATATCTTATCTGAGTTTACTTTTGTACCCCTCCCATATTAACAAATGGCAATAATAGCTTCAAGATGATAGACTGGGCACAGGCCTATCAAACAAGAACAAAGTTTCTCTGAAAGATAAAGAAGTCTGTGCAAACAGACAGCAGAGCCTAACTGTGTCCCTGTGACAATGGAGGTGTGAATTTACGGGGTCCCGGACACAGCGTAGGAACACTGCTCCCCTCAAGCCTTGTAGACTTGGAGCACACATTGGGGGCCCTCCCTCGGGCAAGGTGCTTGCCACCACCCTCACCAGATACAATACAAGAGGCCAGCGTAGCACACTTGGGTATGAACATCCTCCTGATTTATTACCCTCAGCCCCTGTAGGCCAACCCTGCCTGAAATATTTTCTGACCTTAGAGATGTGAACTTAAACAAGGCTCAGATACCCAAAGGTCTCTTAGAATCAGACAATAGGAATAATCCTGCAATGTTAACAATATCAAATTGAAAACTTTACGAAAATGTACACATTTTTCTCTAATAGCTTGTATACCCCTAGCCTTCTGCCACTTATATCCAGACCTAAGCACCCTGCTA